ATATTGATCAAAAGAAAATAAAGTGAAATTAATGCATGAAATTCAGCTATAGAAAATCATATTTTAATTTTTATTAGATCTTGTAAAAAGCGAAAAGTGTTCTGATTTTATGTGGTTTATTTACCAAAAAAAATGTTTATACGATCTTTATGATGAAGATCAAGATAATAAAAAAAAATATGTGCATTGATTTGATGTTTAAATGGTTTGTTAAATTTACGATGATAGCTTCTATTTTACAATGACTTTATTGATATTTGCATATTTTTTCCTAAATTTTTTTTTTTATGTTTTTTATGAATATTATAATTTTCATTCAAGTTTTAAAATGAAATAATAAAATTTTTTCTTATAACGCCATATTTCTTATATTGCCTGTAAACAAATATATTTTTATATGTTTCAAAAAGTAATTAAACCAAATAATCAAGTGGTTCCATAATGTGTTTACCCCTTGGTATCATTAAATGATAAAATGTTTATGATCGGTTGGAAGAAAATGCGTTAAGTAGCCTACTACCAAAAAAATATATTACGAGTATATTTATCTGCATCAGATATTTTTAATTTTTAATTTTAACGGAGTGGTAGGTCCATTACATCAATTTCTTGGATTAATTATCTTTTGCAACCTTCTGTAGATTTTCATCACCCGGGTGAATATTTAATAATTAATTGTTGTAAGAAAACACGAAAGTTTTGAAGTACCTCTTGAACTGCTTTAGTTAGATTAAAAGTCGATTAAATCAACTTCACAACGGGTGTTGAACTTGTCGGAAATAAGTGGCTTTACAGCTAATTTTTTTTTTTTTTTTTAATTGTCACGTTTTGTGCAAGGATAAAAAAAAAATATATCGATTACAGAATGCGTAACGTTAATAATGTTACTATTGAGATCGTGAACATTCCATCTGATTCTTAGTTTCCCGATTATTTTTGAGTGTCTTATAACACATTGGAAATGTTACTTTCTCTATTATAGTATAAAATTCTTTTGGTTTGGTTGTTCTTAATAAATATCTTAAACTAGTTTAATTAATTACAAGTATTTTCTGTACAGAATTTAATAACCAATAATTTACAAAATTATTATTTTTTTTCATTAAATTTGATTTAAAACTCATTTTTGGATTATTTAATTTCAAAATCATTAGTTTAAAGAAATACACTGTTTTCATATCACTTTGAACAGTTTTATTATTAGTTTTATATGTATATTATTGAATAAGTTTGAAAAGAAACCGTATTGTTGACTTAAGGCGAATAAACGTTTAAACCAAATACTTATCCATGCCATTTGTTATTATCAGTCGAGCTATTGTTAAACGTTTTCTAAATGTTCATCGAAAAAAATACTTCGAAAATGATGAAATGTCTATAAAATTCTGTAATGTAAGAAAATGTTTCGAATTGCTGCGATTATCATTATAAATAAGCTTTAAATTTTTAAACTAAAAGTTACATGCATTTTCAACCATAATAATGTTGTGGATTTTCTGTAACCTGTAGAGTTTTATCAAAATGTTATATTCAAATGCACATAAAATTATTTTTTTGAAATTGGAGCTAAATTTTTTTTCATAAGCCAGTAAGATAAATATACATTTATATGACTCACAACTTTGTATTAATTTTTCAAGATTTCATAATTGTTAAAATAAAAATCTTTTGAAAATCATATCATCTATAACGAACTGTGATATAAGCATTCGTAGTTTGGTTTTTTTGGCATTACCTAAAAAACGTACCAAATTTATACAATTTCATATTTATTAATTATTATAACAATCTTTGCTCAAACCCAATTTCGAATGCAAACTGACCAACAGCCGGAAACATCGGTTATACTTACGCCTGTCAGAAATATCACACTTGCTCACATAAAGTACACAAATGTAGTTTTCTCATTGTACAGCGCTCTTACTTTTTAAACATTTCATGTGCAGTTGTTAACAAACATTTCACTTTTGGACAAGACGGCTTAAGTAGGCTTTTTCTTCATTCTGAATTTGTCCATCTGTATCTGTTATCAGTGTCTTGGATTTGTAATATACGTGGCATTCGTCTGGGCCGTTTAAAATTCTGATTGATCATTTCTTGATTTTAGTTTCTCCAGCGATTTATCAGTGTTGATAATATGAGCAACATATCATGTTTAGCTATCCTTACAATTTACTACGGTTTCCTCAATGTTACCATTTTTCCTCCGAAATGGTGTGGATTTTAATCAATATGGCGATGAATAAAATTATAGTCAATAAATTGAATATAAAATTAAGAGAATTGTATAATAATTTATGAATTTATATTTAAAAATTATATACATACCATTCAATGAGTTTGCATTAAAATTATATTCTTTAAAATATTACATTTTGTTACTTGACTTTATACTATTAAAACAATATTTTGTATTTATATCGGAACTAAATTAAAATAAATTTATCATTAAAACTTCATAAGAATATAAACTGTCTAATAAACGAAAGTATGCATTCATAATGCACATATAATATAATATAACATTACTAAGTATTGTATTATTTCGAAATGCTTTTTTTTACTTAGCACAGCATTTAATCTTTTGAGAAATAAATTTAATGTTATGAGCGTAATGTATGAAGCAAATTTTCTAGTTAAAAATGTAAATTAAAAAAAAAAAAAAAAATGATTAAGGAATAAAAATAAAATGTAGGTAATTGATTGATGTGTTTACTTAGTAATCCAATATTAGGTAAACGAAATAAACAATACTTAAGGATTTTCCAAAGAATCTTTTCATATATTAAAATATGATAAATATATTTATACTTTAGAACAAAGCAAGTTTTTAAGGAAACTGTAAAATAACTAAAGTTTAAAAATTATTTTGAACGAAGAATTATCAGATTATTTTGTATTAATTTATACGATAAATTTGAATGTCAATATTAATTTAATTAATTTTTTTTATCGTTTTGTATATACCTAATTATTTTAAACAATAGTGGCTTTTATGATATTTATTTTTTACTTGCACTTTGTACACTTTATTTACGACAATATTTGTCTATTAATACAATTACAAAAATAAATTTTAATACAGGATTTTCATAAACTATTATGTATTAAAAAATAATATTAATACCATTATAGATTATGGGTTTCACGGTTTACAATAGGTACAACGATTAAAACAATTATTTTTAGCTTTGGCATTTTGAAGTCAACTAAAATCTTATTAGTTCGGATTTTATATTTAAATTTCTTATACGTTCTAAATATTCTAAATATGTCCATCAATCAATATTATAAATAAATGTATGTGTAAATAGTACATACACTATAGAGCAGAATGACTAAGTCAATATCTGCATACCTCCTAAAAGATATTTTTGCTTAATTTTTTTTTTTAATTATATACATGTAAAACAGTTCTTATTATACTATAGTTTGTAAATTTCCGAAGACTTATATATATATATATATATTGTATATTACAATTTTATAAATTGAAAGTATAATTTTGAATTAGCCAGTTAGTCGGTACAACACTATAATCTTTTGATATAGAAAATAATACTATAACCCATGTCGTTTTATTCTGAAACAAAAATCATTTATATACCTGTATGTAAATTTAAACCTTTCCATGTATTTATTTTATTGAATAAACCGTTGATAAAATATCATACTCATATTTATTGTTTACATCTTACATAGGTTAACTTATATTAAATTTAAAGCAAAAAACTAACAACATGACAAATTTGTAATTTTGTTCGACTTGTAGCTTATACCTGTTTGTAAGATGAGGACAAAATGTAACACATGCAGCGGTTGCGTTTAGAACTTACCTTTTTTAATTTTTTATTAACATAAAGGCTTCAATTACAGAGATTATTAGCCAATTATTAGTATCTTTTATAAGTGCTTCCGAAGTGGTATCAAGAGTGTTCATATATAGTGTTCAATTATATAACAAATTATGTTGCAAATGTGACTTAAAATTTACATTTTAGGATGTTTTATTAAAACGTTGATTACACAGTGAGCATACACGGACGAGTAATAACAACTGTTTATTTTATTATTTTATCCACGCTATTTGATCGAAGAGACCTGTCATTTAATTGTTGACTGAACAAATGTAGATTATCTACCTAGCCTACCTAAAATACCTAGGTGTATGTTATTTGAATGATAGAATATAGATATAACATATGACAACGGTTTTCAATCTTTTTAGTACCGCGACCCAAATTTCCTCTGAAAAATCTTTCGTGACCCACATTATTTCACTTTTCAAAAAGAAGTAAAAAACAATATTTGTATTATATAAATATGTATACATTTTTATTAAGTATTTAGTATTTTATAGGTTTATAATTAATAAATTCTTACAAATGTACTTTTAATAATGAGTTGTATGCAAAATGTATGCTGGTTTTCTCTTTTGGTTAATAACAGCATTGACATCGACGTCAATTTTAGTTATTTTCAAACGTAAAGAGTTCGATAAGTTTAGCTTATTCCGATGTTTGTTTTTAATGCCCACCATTACCAAAAATTCAACTTCACACATATTTGAAGATAAGAATTCGAGTAGTGTTTTTATAGCTTCAGCTGAAAGAATTGGAATTGTTAGTTACTTTCATCAGTTACTTTTATATCATTTTTAATTATGAAAGTTTGAAATGTTTCAAAGCAATCATAATATTGCTTTTCAATGTTGTTTTGTCATAAATTAAGTTTTTCCATAAAACCTTTAATTTTGTCATGAACCGCAAATATATTGGCTCCTTGTATTCTTTGTAAATATATACTAATTCGTTAAGTTTACTGATTAATTTAACATTCATTTCTTGGAATCTATATAACTCTAAATATGTTAGTACTGAAAAAATAGTATGAAAAAATAATCGTTTCGTAATATATGACTAGATGTACGGTTATATTATTATTATGTAACTGCATGTTTGCTGTAATTGTACATAATTAATATTTTCCATGTTTGATAGATAACATATATGGCGAAGGACCTTCATGTTCAAATACCAATGAATCGGCCTAGGACATTTGATATTTCAGGTAAGTAATACGTGAGATTAATTACTGATTAGATATTGATTTGATCTTTGATATATTTTAAACATAAATACAATAAAACAATTACTCGTACAATATTATTTCCAGTAAGCTATGAATCACTATATATATAGATTTATTGACGTATTCAGAAAATCGTAAAAAAAAAAAAAAAATTATCAAATTGAAAATATATAAGACTTCGTCATAAAAAGTCTATATAATTGTAATTTGTATTATATTTTAGTTATTTTTAATAAGATTTTATTTTCCCATAGCACCTTTAGATTAAACAACTTTTTATTTTCAACGGAGATAAATGATAAGATAATTTTTAAAAAGGCTTATTGGATAATATTTGTATGGGTATATGACCTAGTAAAATAAATTTCAGCAAGTCTAATTATTATTACAAATTAGTTAACTTATCTTTAAACAGACGTGGCTCCACTAATCTAGAACACTGCATTTCTAATGAACCAGAGCAAGTTCCGATGATTATTATTTAAAAACAAATTAACGCAGCACACGGTGGCTTATAATATTAATGAAAATATACTATAATTTAATATAAAGTAATGCATGTTTTCTTGTTTTAATAAAATTCACACTAAATGCTATATTTCACCGAGTATCCCAGTATCTAAAACTGTACAATGTACAGTGTATATTATACATGTAATACCAGTGATTAGTTAACGACTACACCTACAAAATGTTTAATCTTTGAGGCTCAAACACCACCCGAAATATATTTTAATAAATAATCTCTCTCCTTGTCTTCCTTTGGAATCGTAACGGTATTCTAAACCATACAAACGAATTATTTGTAATATTACACGATAAAATAATTGATATAGCCCTTATTGCGGAATCTCACTTAACTAATAATAATTTTTATATTATTTGCACATTTTCTAGAAATAACTGACGCCGTAAACGAATGCCCTATTAATTTAGTTGTAACTCGAATGGAAGAAAATCGAAAATAAATTATTTTGAAACAACCCGTTTTTCGTAGCGTAAAATTGGCATGCTATCGTTGTACACAAAAATTTAAAAAATACATTTTTATAAACGATTTCCAAAATCTCTTTAATGCAGGTTTTGGTTGAAATAATCATCATTGGAACGTCACATTGGTATTTCTTGTGTACATTATTAATGTTTATGCATGTGAGAGTGGAGACGGAACAAACAGAATCGTGTTTCAAGATTGATGCAATATTTCAACCAGGATTGAACATTATACATATAATAAGATACTTAAGAGTTATTGATTTTATTGATTTAAAAGTGGTTTTGTTTTTCATTTTAGATAAATATTTAATCATGTAACAATATATTTATGTACGAATGTATATTCTTAAAACTGAAAACGATTGTACGTCTAGATTTTTGTGTGGGTACGCTAGGCGTATATGCCCAGTAATATTACATTATATATTATAACTGTGTGTAAAAATACAACTATTATTTATATGAGAAAACATTATAACGTAGTAAATATAATTATTATAGTATTCATTCATAACTAACTATTGCGGTTTTCAACATTACCATAAGAACACAATATTATTTTTAATTATCTACGCATAATGTAAGTGTAATAATAATATTATTTAATAAAAACAGTTTTTAATTGCATTTCGTATTCATTTTATTTTAATCTATAACCTTTATGATGTTACAGTTTAAGTTAAATACCGTCATAAGTTAAATATGCACGTGAAAATATTTTGTTTAAACAACATTATACTCATTTTCTTTTCAGCCGTGGTGTATGCCTAATTGTGGTGTATACAGGTGAATGCCTAATTTTATAAGTTTGTTATCCTCGTTTGATTTAAATAATAGTTAACAATTAGATGATCCAATTAAAATGAGATTGAAAACATTTACGAACATTACTATAGTAATTAAAGAAATATATTATAAAACAGTTTTATAGCGTAGCTTATAATATATATTCAGTAGAATTTCGTTATGTCGCATTCCAAGATGAACAGAAAGAATTTCGAATGTCGAAAAATTCGAGGTATTGAGTTTTATTAAAAATTAAAAAAAAGAATTATTTAAAATTCACGGTTTGAATACCTAAAGTATAAATACGTACATACATACATATAATATGAATTACAATATTTAATAAATTAGATTTATTTTTAAAAAACCGCCGTAAAAAATCTTTGTTTTTCATTAATTTTATCTGTGACGATGCTTTTCAAATTATATTATGCAGTAAAATCGTAAACTCCTACAACGGTATTAGTCTCAAAAAAAAAAAAAGAAGAAGATATTTGTGTTTTTCAAACAGTTTTTCATTTGTTCTATCGAAACTTCAGAGTGACTCCTCTTTTTCCGATCGCTTTTTACTATCATTAATGTTCTCGATGGTGTCTTATAAAACGTTATCTGTCCGTGTTCCACACAAATGTACGCATCATTGTTCATCTTCGCTTAGCGCGAGAACAAACTATCGTCCAACGGTCAGACGATCGGCAACCAAACTTCGTTGACCGTCAGAAATTGTTTGAGTCATCCATTATGGAATTTAATTAACTGTCTTCGAAAAATCTGCTGAAACTCATAAGAAGAATTAATTTTTGTACATTATTTTACATTTCACACTATGGTGTGAGCGCGGACGATGACTGTACTGAATATGTTGCACGATTTTCCATTCTTACCGCGATAAAAATTGTTTGTGAAAAAAGTTGTGCACCCGTGTTGGATATAGAAAAAATTATTAATTTTACATCGAGCTTTCGACATCGAAACGCAATTTAGTGGTGGTTTCATGTGGATTTCAACGCAGTTAGAGGTAGCAAAAAAAATTCAAGATGACGACGGTCGTAATAGAAATAATCTTTCATGCATGTAAACATGTATATTATAATTTCTGGTAGCATTTAAATTATTTATAATTTCCTTAAACTTGGTTGTGCCTTTTTTGTCCAATTATTATTACACGTTTCTAAATAGGCAAAGTAATATTTTAAAAAAAAAGACCAAAAGTCCGTAAAAACTCTCTATGTTTACTCCGCGATGCTGCTAATAAATGAATACCTACACGGTATGACCAGCATTATTATAGGCACAAATAATCTCATTTGTCTCCGTACGCTTTTTAAAAGGTCGTTCGGTTGAATTTTCTCGCGTTAACGCATACATCATAATGAGCTCATTGCTGTGTGTAAAATTAGCGTTCCTAGTAAATCCAACGTAATATATTTCGTTTTAAAAATTATTTAATAAAATATAAATAAATACTGTAGAGCACGTCTTCAGTATGTTTCACGCGCCGCAAACAGGCAAACGTTGCGTTAAACGCCGCCAAAATTCAACCGGTCCGTGCACGATTTCTTACGGAAGCTTCAATTTTTGACGTTTCGTCGACAGCGTTCATTTGTAATTCCATAAAGACGGGTGAAAATATGCATTAAACTTTGCACGAAAACAAACATCGCATATGCTATTACCGTTAATATTTCAACGGTGAACGAAGCGCGTTAAGAAGGATAATTATTATTCCTTTCACGTAAGTTTCTGTAGCGTATTATGTGCGAATTTGTTCTATTTCTGTTCCACCGTCGGTGTATCGGCTATCAAATCAAACAATGCTTCAAAGTCATCTGGTTTTAGAAATTTTTAAGAGCGTTATTCGAAATTGTTCCTCGTGTTTTGTCTTTTTCAATATAAAGTTTAGATGGACCTAAAGTTTGTAGTTTTCCAAGTTTTGATCGAGATAAAAAATACCGTCCACGAACACTATACTGCCGACTTCTATGTAATACGTATTCTGATTTCAAAATCCATTATGAGCATTTTTTGGATACAGTACAAAACCTTTGGTCAAACATGCATCGCACAACTTTTTATATAAAAATGCATACGTGAATGTACGTTTATTAGAGAGGGGAGTGGGAAGAACACAACAGAAACGTATTTATAACATTTTCGAATCCACGAAGAACGAAAATTGATGGAAAAAAATTCTAACTGGAATGTAATCGTCAATGGAAATTTTTTCAAATTGAACAATAGTATTTTCAATTTATTGCTAACATAATTATTTATGTTCATTCCTTTATCGTTTATAAATAAAAAGTTTTCATTTTTGTTGGTACAAAATATCCATATAACATCATGTGCTTCGTTTTTATATATTTTTTGGAAGCTAACGTTTTTTTCGATAGTTGGACAGCGACGTTTTCTTGGGTACGGAGTGTTATTCACATTTTTTTAGATTACAACTCATATTCATTGTTTTCATTTAAACATTTAATTTAGATCTATGTTACTCACCATTCGGTATATTAATCATAGTTATGTTTAAAAAAAAACAATTGCCTTCTTCTAATCTATGACAATAATGTCTCTGCGTTTTTGCCGGCATATATCCAAGTTCTGTTTCCATTTTTTACCACAGTATACATATTTTTAAATTTTAAATTGTTCAAGATTATTAATAACTGTACATTTTAGCCAAGTATAGAATATAATTCCATAATGTCGGAACAATTTAATCATTAAAACACGTTCACTTCAAAAGTCGAAAAAAATTTGATATTTTATCGACGTTTGTACACAAGTATATTTTTATATTTTATGTTTCAAATTTTGTCGGATGTCATAGTTAATATTATGGGTGGTTGTTATTTATTTTTGGTACGCGTAAAAATACGAAGAACAATGAATAATAATAATTGATCCAACATTGAAATATATAATAGTTAAATACAGGACGTATATGGTCACCCTGAATGTATTTAATACACTTATTAACAGTCATTTTTGACTACTGTAAGACGGTTAACAATTACAATTGCTTGATAGGTGGGTGGTGATTAGTACTAATGTATTTAATAGAGTGCGAACTTATAGTTATTTACTGTAATTAGATTACACAATAACTACATTTTGGATATTTAATTATTGTCGGGTAATGTTTGCAATTTATGATTTATGTATTTATCAAAGTCGAAATCAAACAATTTGAGTGATGTACAATTGTTTACTAAGTGTACAAAATAAACGTTCATATTCTTATTCTTTTATCAAAACAAGCAATGAACCATTTAAAAAACATATATTCAAATTTCTATGTTCAAATTTCCTTTAAATATGAGATTGATAAAGATTTTTTTATTTTACAGTTACAAAAATATTAAATTGTTGTAATTGCTACAATATTTTATGTAAATTCCTAAAAAATTGTACATAAAAATGTATTGCTTAATAACAAATTAAATGAGAAATTAATTCACTATTCATTGATGTTTTTCTCTGCAATTAAGCTTTTGGATAGTTCAAATGGGCCAAAAGTTTTGTGCATTTTATTATAAACATTATGTTGTACACAAATCAATTAAAATTTTCTCATTTAAGTTTTCATAAGGAGTAAAATTATAATTTAATTTCTTTGAGCATATTTAAATATTCTGTTGTAACTTATTTTTATTTCTACTCAAAAATAAATATTTGTATTATGTGACAAGTAAATTTGATACGAGACTTATCTTAATTTATAATGTCAATAGCCGATATTTACAATTATTTTTTTTTTTTTTTTTTTTATACAAGGAATAAGTAATAAGGAACTTATATACTATACAGTTATTTGGTGGTATGCTATATCTATTTGATTAACACCTTAATTATTTTGAAATAATTTTTTTTCTTTTTTTGGATATAAGATATATTTTATCATCAAGATTGTATTTTTATATTTGTTCTTACATATAGCTGGTATTCATATTTTACAAGAATGCACTTAGAAATATTGTACCGGACTTGGTATTTGCAGGTCCTGATAATTTATCCTAAAAATGTGTCATTAAAACAATACAAAATTAACAAGACACTAGGTACTAATCCTTTGGTCCTTAATTATGGTAAAATTGATGTACCTACAGAACATCCTTCAATATTATTGAATAATTGAAATTTCCTAAGTAAATAATTCAACCGAATTCTGTTTAATTTGAACAACCTAAGAGACTGCGTAATTTTTATTGGTCGGTTTAAAATAATTTATCCATGTGTGATTTATTTAAAAAAAAAAAAAATAACTTAAAATATATTCGTTATAAAAACTTAAAATGTATCATTGTGTTTTTTTTTTTTTTTTTAATGAATTATACATTAAGGTAAACAAATATTGTCGACATTTGTTGTATAATAAAACGATCAGAGATTTTATACACAGAAGTTTGTCACATCAAATTATTTGAACTAGTCAAAAACGATTGTAATTACTGTGACAGAATCTTCAAATTATCTGAAAAACGTATTTATTGGTTTTACCTATGAGATATAAAGAATGTTACGGGAAAAGTTCAACATTGTTCTCACGTTTTTCATTTCAGTTTTCTTTTTATACCTACAGTAAAAACGGTTTGGAATATCACAAAATATTATTACACCTAAAGTGCCATATACGTTCAATCGCTGATCTAATAAAATTCTATATAAGACTTTTGGCGCACTGCAGTTACTGCTCAAAAAAGTGTAAACAGAACACGATAAAAGATTATTACCTATATAAGTATTTCGTTTCCACCTGGCTCGTAATCCGGAAGCCGGACGATTTAAAATTATAAATATTTCAA